TGTGGCAGTGCCCAGCCCGCCTGCTTTTGGGGATTCTGGTTTCGCAGCCGAGCGCAGGGGTCGCCACTCCTCCCTTCCCGAATCCCCCGCCGCCTCCCACCTCCGACTCCTCTTCCTCCTGCCTCGTGCTTCCTGCTGCCTCGCGGCTCCCTGGAGGGTGCTGCGAAGTGCGCAGCTGTCGCCACTCTCGTGGGCGACCGAGAGGCCCTGTGGAGTGGAGTGGTGCGCAGACCTCGCCGAGACCCCCGCGGGGCTGCGAGCTGCGCAGCTGTCGCCACTTCCGTGGGCTCCTGGGAGGCCCAGCTGAGAGGAGTGGCGCGCAGACCCAGCCCGGACCTCGCGGCTCCTTCGGGGGGGGCTGCACGCTGTGCGGTTGTCGTCACTGTCGTGGGCTCCCGGGAGGCCCAGCGGAGTGGAGTGGTACGCAGACTCAGCCGAGAACTCGCGGCTCCCTGGGGGGCTGCGAAGTGCGCAGTTGTCGCCTTTTTCGTGGGCTCCAGGGAGGCCCAGCGAGACCTCGCGGGGAGGCCCAGCAGATTGGAGTGGTACGCAGACCCAGCCGAGACTTCGAGGGCCCCTGAGAGGCTGCGAACTGCGGCATTGTCGTCGTCACTGTCGTGGGCTCCTGGGAGGCCCAGCGGAGTGGAGTGGTACGCAGACCAAGCCGAGAACTCGCGGCTCCCTGGGGGGGCTGCGAAGTGCGCAATTGTCGCCACTTTCGTGGGCTCCTGGGAGGCCCAGCGGAGTGGGGTGGTGCGAGGACCCATCCGCGACCACGCGGCTCCCTAGTGAGCTGCGAACTGCGCAATTGTCGTTACTTTCGTGGGCTCCTGGGAGGCCCGGCGGAGTGGAGTGGTACGCAGACCCAGCCGAGACCTCGCGGCTCTCTGGGGAGCTGCGAAGTGCGGGTTCTTCATCATGCTCGTTTATGTCGAGCGGGTGGTGTGGGTGCCCCGTCTCAGAAACGTTTGGGTACGTCTCTGGGCAGGTTTGTTGTTGTCTTTGGGCATGCAGTCGTTCATGCCCACACCACGGCATCCATCGTGCCATCTCAATCCTTGGTCGGCGGGAGCGCGGGACCGTCCACGGGGAGGGGGGGACCAGATGAGTTCCTTCACAGAGCTCTTCTCCTCCCTTGGGGGCAGGCGGGTGTGGCGTTTAACCCAGACAAGTCCACGCCGACAGTTTCACCTGCTTCTGGGCTCTGCTAGTGGCCTTCTCGGGTCTTTCGGGTTCGCCCCCACCTCCTCGATTCCATTTTGGCTTTTCGGCCTTGCTGCCTCCACGAGTGTCTATACTCGGCTGCCATGGGGCATGGCAGTGGCGATTTGGCGACTTTGACAGCATAGGGGCGGTTATGTCTGTCGGGTGCCCCTGCTGGACCGCTGGGTGGAGGATGAGATGAGTAGGGACGAGAGAGCATGGGAAGGAGAGGTGGAATGAGGGAGGTACGGGACTACTGCGAACACGTCCGAGTCACGAACATCGGCATGGAAGCAAACCATGGTTTGGTTGTGCAGGGGTGCAGCAGTGGCGGCTCAGAGGAGCAGCCGCTTGGCCTGCCACGAGCCCTGACGCCCCTGGCCCTGCAGGCGCCGAAGCCGACGGGCGTCAGCACTCCTCGGTGGGCCAGGCCACGTCCTGGCCCGCAAGGACGCCCTCAAACACTGGGAGGGCGCCCGTGGAGAGGAAGCAGGCCCTCCAGGAGCGTGCGCCCTGGCCGGAGCGCAGGAGGAAGTGCCGCCGAAACTCACGGACGCCCTCGGCGACGTCGAGTTACGTGGGGGACAGCGAGAAGCTCGCCGAGGCCGCTTCCAGGAGGTCGGGGGAGGTCACACTGGTGCGTCCCAAGACGCGCAGCCAGCGCCGCCGATTGCTGTCGGATGACCACGAGACCCTGGTCTGTGCCGCCTCCACCAGGATGTCGCAGCTCAGTGTCGCCGCCCTTGCCAAGACGCCTGCTGCCGTCCTTGCCCTTGCCGTGGTCCTGGCTGGCGCCGCCCTCCTGATCGCTCAACCCGCCCTGCGATCGGGAGCGAGTCCACCCGCTCGTCGAGCGTGGGTGGCAAGAGGGAGGCGCCGCAGGGCCCTCGGCACGTCCTCCATCACCCGCACGC